ATTCAACCTTCTTAATTGTGAACCTCATTAGTGATGGTTGCTAAGCAAAACACACACCTACCTTCAGTGCATAGGAAGGAGATAAACAATACGTCACAGACTCTAATGACTCTGGTGCTCAGGGCGACCTTTAATTATTATATTTTTGTTCTCTTATACCTTAGTCATTAATGTAGAAAAACAAATTAGTTTATTTTTGTGGACCACAGCAGATTCATAAATTGCCTTCCAGTTTTTATGTCTGAATCATCTTTCATTCTGATAATCTGCACAGGCTTCATTCATTTTCCCATGTATGCATCTGTCTGCCTCGTGTGGCTCTTGAACGCATGACCTCGGGATAGAGGATGTCTTAAAACCGTTTAGTTTTATGGGCTCTTTGCTCTAAAGGATTTAATCATGCTGTTTTGTTTGTAATTCACTTTTATATTGCTTTCTCAACAATCCATAGTGGTCAGAATCTCATGATTATTATGAAATGTTTGATAGAGGAAATGGGTCTTATTTTACAGGGGATGTGTTCAATCCTGGGTACTGCACGTCAGCACGAAGCAGGATGTGTTGGAGGTGGGGGGTGTAAGGCCCACTGAGTGTATTTCTGAATTCTGATCCGATGTCCGAGATCACCTCTGTCTACCTATCACTGTTATGGAAAGTCTTCTCTTTCAGCAAGCAAAACAAGAAGTCGATCAATTGGAAGCATTTGGTTTTTAAAAACTTAGGCTGTTTTTTCCATCACTTCTGCACCCCACTCCTGCACATGCATGCACACGCACACACACTCCCTCCAGGGCCAGGGTGTGGTCCTCAAAGTCCCTTCTGAGCTGATGGGACCAGTACGTAACCACCCACTGAAACGTGCACAAAGTATCTGGGATGAGCTTCTGGATGGGAGCTTCCAACAAGCCAAAATAAAACCAAACAAATCAAAAGTGCAAGAAAAGCTGTAAGCAAAAGAAAGCTTAGAAACCAACCAACCAGTAACTTGAAGCGATGGCAGGTGAGGTGAATGGGAAAGCTGAGCTACCCCACAAAGGGAGAAGAGGTGAGCAAGCCCACAAGGACTGTCCCCCTCTGCACCAGGGGCAGTGCCCTCACCCGGCCTTGGCCCAGGAGGCCTGACCAAGAGCGGGGGGCCCGTGCCAGCTGCTCCCCGTGAACCAACATAAAGGATGGTACAAAGAAAGAGAAGCGTCGCAAATAAAAAGAAGACATGTAACATGTGCCTACCATTTTCCAGATAGGAAGGGGCCGTACCTTCTGACGGGTCTAGGCGGCGGGCCCGCCTCCCGTGTTTGGAGTTGTTGTGCACAAACATGTTGTCGGACACGGCCAGCACGTGGCCGTCCACGTTGACTGTTGTCGACACAACAACCTGGAAAACGAAGTGGCATTGAAAGTGGAGTTGGCAAATGAAAGGCTTCTTAGACACTGCAGAGCCTGAGGAAACTGCCCTCATTCCTGGAAATCCCTCGCTGAGGGCTTCATGGCTTTTTGGCTAATGGGGGTGGGGGGGTTGTTTTGTTTCGTTTTACCTCAAGATTGCTTGTCTTCAAAATCTGCTCCACTAATTACAGTTTAATCTCCTGTTACACTAACAAGTGAATTCAATTCAGAGAAATATTCTCTTTGCCATGAGCTTGAGAATCACCCCTCCAGCCACTCATTTTAAAGCTGCTGTTTTGATTGATCTGTTCACATATTGATTAGATAGTTTATCTAATTAAAATTAGTTCACTTGAGACCGTCCTCCCTTGAAGAGCTGGGAGGATTCAGAGTTACCCAAAAAAGGCTCCACAGATCAGGAACGTTCCTGCTCACTACATTTTATCATCTGATGATCCCTGGGTCAATGTCACAATTGCATTTAATGTCTGGTAATGCACTTTTCTGCATCTGGAAAGACTGACTTGAATATGAATAGTGGAACTGTTTTCAAACCAGAAAAAGGATCCTTTCTCAAGTGCACTGGGAAGCATGACAAGGACCTGGGATGCCATGGGAATGTCCTTTCTGTTGTGAGAAAGGCTCACATTCCCAGGTCTAGGATCAGAGGACGGCCCAGGCAGAGATGACAGATCAGGCCTTCCTGAACTCTCAGCTGCTGCATAGCAGAGGCAGGGACACCCTGCTGACCCCAGACACCTTCCCAAGTGAGCTTGGAACAAGCATCCCAGACATGTCACCACTTAATGGACCGAGGAAATAGGAAATTACAACCTGGCTTTGAGATTTCTCTGTGAGATAGGTGGGTCCAGTGGTGCGCTCATTCCAGAACAGCTGGAGGAGCAGAGATCTGGGCCCAGGTTTCACCTGCATCTTGCAGCAGGATTCCTGGGGCTTAAGCCTGGATTTGGCAGGAAGGAAGTCTGGCTCTTTGCCAAGGTTTGGGCAGACTAAGCCAGGTCTTGAGGTCAACATCACCCTGGAGAACCACAACCCCACAGAGAACTGGGCAGCGGGAACAGGTGAGCGGGGAAAGGGAAGAGGTTCCCAGCCGACTTCCACCTTCCCCGCATAGTCGGACAAGTCAAAACACACCGTATAAAATGCACATCAAAAGCCAAGGCTACAGTGGGCCTTAGTGAAAAACAATGTTATTAGTTGGCTCATCAGGTGTGACGAATGCACAGCATCGAGGCAAGATGTTACTAATTGGGGGGATCATTGGGTGGGGGGGTCTATAGGAAGTCTCCATACTTTCTGCAAAATTTTTCTGTAAACCTAAAACTGCTCTAAGAAAAAGTCTATTAATAAACTAAACTAAACTAATTAAAAAATTAATAAGTATGAGTGATTAAAAATAAACAATAGTATTTTTAAGAGTTTAAAAAAGAAGTCAAAGCTAGATACTTATATATAAATACATATCTGAGTAATTGTTTTTTGTTTTTTGGGTTTTTTTAAATCTCAGGCCCCACAAGAGGAAGGACTGTGAAGCGGGGACAGTGGGCACTGCACCCTCCCTACAGAAGCCCCCTCACTGGGGCGGCTTCTCCTTGGGAACTGCACCAACACTGTTGGGATCTCAACAATGTCAGGCCACTGTGAACCTCGAAATATAGTAAGTGCAGCCACGGTGTCCCCAGGTCCAGGCTCTCTCAGCAGTTTTTTCCACTGGGCACTGCCCTTGGAGACCTGGTGGGAGGTGGCCCTGATGCCACTTTGGAGCCACTAGGGGGCCTAGCAGCCTCTGCCCAGAGGACCCAGTGGCCGTTCCTGCTTGCCCAGGTGCCTTCCGAGTGGTCTGCCCACTCTAGGCATTGAAGGAGCTGTACAACAGCACCGTCCAAGCGTGATGCAGGGACACATAACTAATACTGAGGCACTGACTTGATCTTTCTAAGTTCCCAGACCATGGTAAGTTAAAGAAACAAGGAAAGGTAAAAAATTTTTAAAAGATACTCTTTGCTTTGCCATCTGTGTATAGGTCAGTCACCACAGGACAAGGGCACTGCTCAGCAGAGAAAGCGGACCAGCTGTGTTTCGTTTCTCACCTGGGCCAGCCCTGCAGTGCACTACGGGAAAGGTGCTGAGACCGTGAGACCCATCGTGTAAGCCCCAACATACTCTTAAGTCCAGTTAAACCTTCCGAGAGGCAGGGAGATTAGCTAAAGAGACCAGAGGAAGTCCTTCTAGTAGCTACAGGCTCCACGGTTTACCATGAGATCACTTGCAACTGATGCTGCATTCAGTCACTGGTGAGACAAAGAGAAAAGGGCCACTCGGCCCTGTGTGACCTCCACTCTGCTTAGACGGATCAATATCACCAGTGCCCCGTGAAGCCTTGTGCATGAAAAATGGTAACAGGCCCAACTGTTTGCAAGAAACACTGTCCCCAGCTACAGAGCATTACTATGGGCAAGCCTAAAGAGCCTGCCCTCTCCGTTGGCTGGTTCAAGGCAACAGAGAGGACAAGCTCTTTGGGCTCACCCACAGCAATGCAGAGAGACAGATGTCACATGTCACACTAAAAGAATGAAGCATACATTAAACACCTAAAAAACGCTTGGAGCTGTTTGATGGAAACGTAGTCTAAATCCCAATTAAGAATCATTCGATAACTCATCCAATCTAGTAGTCATTTCCATGAGCCACCACATTTTCCTCTGGTTGGTAGGTATCAGCGGCAGTCTCGTGTCCCAGCCCAGAATATTTTTACAATTAATATGAGCAATATAATCCATCCTGTGTGCAAAGTACTTTTTACCCTGAAGTAACCTCCTAATCATTCACAAATAAAAGCATGAAAAATATGAACTCTATCATAATTTATCCCTGTACCCAACCAGCTCTCCCTCTGCATCCTGTAGACAAAATCCTCTGAGGCAAACCACAGACGGGAGGTAGCCTGGGCCCAGGAACAGATTAGCAACTAGGCATGGAATTAAGGGGGAACATGTTAAACCTCAGGGGAAAGAAGATGAGGCTAAGAAAACATTCTGGAATTTGCAGAGGACTGTATTAAGCAGGTACAAATCCCTTTCTGAGGAGAGCCCAAGGTCTTGAGCATCCCCAAAAGATTGCATTATGGTTCTCCCCCACAGAAAATCAATGAATCATCAATCAATCAATCCCTAGAAGAAGATCTTCAGCAGGACCGTATTTTCAGAGCTGATTTCAGTTTGTCATGGGGCATGATTGGACTTGATGAATCTGGCATACTGAAGATACCAGATCATCATAAAAGCATTTTATTTACATACTTCATCAATGAACAACTCCAGTCTGCTCCCATGCCCTTAGAGAACTACAGATTATTTTCTGAACAATTACAAAATCAGAGAATTCAGATTTTGCAGGAAAAGTAGGACCGTGGTCCACGTGTCTGAGAAATTTGTACCTGGAATCTCCGCATATCTCGAGGGTTGCCTGCATTCTTCAAACAGTTCTGATTGCACTTGAGGAAAAACTTTAGAAAGAATCTATGAAAATACAAAAAAAAAAATGGATATTTGTTAGGGTTATCAGACAAAAGACAAACTATTTTTTTTTTTAATTAATTAATTTTTTTTTTTCCTTTTTGTCTTTTTTCGTGTCCGGCAACGGATCGCAACCCTCAGTGGATATTTGTTAGGGTTATCAGACAAAAGACAAACTATTTTTTTTTTTAATTAATTAATTTTTTTTTTCCTTTTTGTCTTTTTTCGTGTCCGGCAACGGATCGCAACCCTCAGTGTCACGCCCGTACCAGACCGGGACCGGCAACGGTGATCGCAACCCTCGGTGTTGCGCCCACACCTCGCTCAGCCAGTGAGCGGGAACCGGTCTGTATGTGGGATCCAAACCCTCGGCGGGAGCGCCGCCGCGCTTCCCAAGTGGCGCACTGTAGCGGTGCGCCACCGGGCCGGCCCCCAAAAGACAAACTTTTTAAAACACACTCTTGCACGGGGAACGGTGGAGACTCAACCCTACAACTGCCAGCTGCCCCGTCAGGGGCAATAATGAAGGGAGACTGTGAGAGGCCGGGAGGGGGTGCCCTGTCCAACAGCCCGTGTAAAATATCTCCACGTGTGAGCAGAGACTTACATTAATCTTGACATGGATTACTAAGCTTTATAATAACAACTGTGACTTTCAGATTGGCCATTTCCTGCCTGGACCTTTGTACAACTGACCATTAACCATCAGGGAAATGTCCACCCAGACTGGGCAGCCAGCTTCAGGCAATAAAAACACAGGATGTCAAGTTAAATCTGAATTTCAGACAAGCAACACACAAATCTCTTTGTATAGGTATGTCTCAGAGCATACCTCTACTGCACTAAAAAATTGTTGTTTATCTGAAACTGAAACTTCACTGGACATGATCTATTTTATCTGGCAACCCCAACCCCAGATGACATCGCTGCCTAAGCAAGCACGCTTTTAAAGACAGATGTTACAAGTTACAAAACGTACATCTCTTAAGAAAAGAAGGGATTTGGGGGGTACTGTTCTAAGGGCTACAGTGACTTCTGGGAGAGGTCTCCACGTGTGTTTAAGAGCATAACCAACGTTTCTTGATGTGGTGATGGAGCTGCCTAGGCCGGGAGATGGAGAGCAGCAGCACCATCGGGCTCGGGGAGGCAAGGCCACGCAGCAGCGCCGTTTCTATTTCCTGCCACACCTGGCCCTTGTGCTTGGTGGCATGACGATGCAGGGGTCCTGACAACGTACTGAGATGCTGTGACAAAAACATCACCACGTTGTCCTCCCCATTCCTGTGTGCACGGTGACAAATGCAGGAGTGCTGGTGGCCTGAACTTAGGGACACGGGGAACTTGGCCATGAACCACCGACAGGGAAAACAGGGGCATCCTGGCCCCGCACAGATTCTGCCCCAACACAAAGAGGCCGCGTCCATCATGAGCTGAAGGTAGGTCTCTAAGCTGACCCACCTACTCTCTTTAGGCATCTAAGCATCTTGTCCAGAAAGGTTAGAAACAAAAACCGTCTCTATTTCCTTCCAAAATATCATCTGTCCTACATGGTGACCATTAATTTTTTATCAACTTTCCATGATTTCCTTGAATTCAATCTTATACTCAGTGTTCCTCGTCAGCAATTATAACATCAGAAAATAAAAAGGCTCATAGACTGAGACATTTCTCTAACTGCATTCCCAGCATATCCTGATGACGTCTTACCATGGCAGGAGAAAATGCAATTGATGGGGAAGAATGGTGGCCACTTAATTAAATCTCCTTACATACCGTGAGGCCTCACGATTTTAGGCCAGAATTTACATCTTTTATTAACTCCTCTCACCTATGCACTTAGCTCACAATGCCGCTTAACACCATCTGCCATCGGCATACAGTAAGTCACTTGATATTCCTCCCACCAATTTTTCCTAACAACCACTGTGCAATTAAACTCCACACGTTCTGCGGCGAGGTAAATTAGGCGCACCTGCGGCCACGCTGCATTTGAACTGCATCAGAAAGAGCCTAACAAGGTGAGGGCACCACAAAGTTATCGTCCTGTCAGGCAATTAGGTTTCACTTCGGGGACAGCCACACGGTGCAATTATGCCACACATTACCACCGGGCTAATCTTTTGAGCAGGCGCCGGCCCGAGAAGCTGCTCATCTGCAAATGTACCTGTATCGGGCCATCGAGGGGAGCTTATCTGGTGATATGAAAGATGTTTTTTCCCCCTCCAGAGGAGGTTGCTTTAAATTCCTTCATGTCTTTTTAGCCAGTTCACCTTTTTACCTCCAAGAGAGCAGAGAGGCTTTTGAAGATCTCCTAAACAGCCTTCTCTCTTGCGCTGGCTCGATGAGATGGGCTTGACAGTCTTGGGCCTTCGCCATTGTCAACTGCAGAGATGAGCAGAATGTATTTGGGCACTGGACCCCGGGAACACACGGAGCAGACATGGGTGTCGACTCTGAAGCAAGGGCAGGTACACACCCTGAATGTGCACGCACACACACTCTGCCATTGATTATGGCAATGACAGTTTCTGCTGCTCTCCAAAGTGTCTAAAAAGCAGTCCAAACACTCGAGAAAGATCTGTGGTATACAGCCCTAGAGAGCAGGATCCTTTTCAAGCACTCAGGTCCTAATTACACAAATAAAGCAAAGCACAGTAGTCAACTGACCCCATGCCACGTTATTGGGACATCTCTAGGGACAGACAGAGGGGAAGCCTCAGCATAGAGAAAGAAGAGCTTTCCACCTACTTCTGACCCTGGTTTTGGCTCTGTTTAACTCAGGGGTTCAGATAAGCCTCCACAAGGTGGATGGCATGGCGTACCCGGCGTGGACCGCTGACGCCACCTACAACCGCGTGCAGAGCAAATGCGTCCTTTCCACTAGGAAGTGCTTGGTGAGATGCACGTACAGTGTTTGGGGACAGGTAAGAAATGGAAATGCCCCACATGTGAAGTCAAATGGTAATTCCCATCTTTTCCTCAATTACCCTTTAATTGGCTTTTTCCTAAGAAATATCTGACAACCACTTTACATATCTCACTTCCAGAGTCTGGTACACAAAGGATTTAATACTCTTGTTATGAAAGGAAAAATCTTTCTTATGTCAGAAAATCTTTGGCTGTAGCACCAATAAACTCTTTATTACTGCTAAACATGGATTTGCTGCTCGATTGCAAAGAGGTGATAAAAATTCTAACCTGTCATTAGTACATTATGCTTAATTGTGTACAGTGTGTTTCCCATTGCATCTGTTGGCCCGTCATCAAAATGACCATTATGTGCACTAATTCCCTGACCCTGTCTTTATTTCCCTAAAGAGTCATCATCTTTCACAGTAGGTACCAGAGTAAATCAAGCTTGAAATATGGGCTTTATTTACTTGTCTCTCCCAGGCAGAGGGGAGAAAGCAGCTCAAGACAACTGCGATGCCTCAGTCGCAGCTCCCCTGCAACATTCTACTTGGAACTGGAAAGTTGTGAAAGCGATTAGAAGGGAAAAGGTGTGATCTTATTACTTTGGAAATGAGGTTTCCTCTCGTACAGCAAGCAGGGATCTGGACGGGATGCTTCATGGCAATCTCATTCACGCTTAGGGGGGCTGACTCCAGGAGGGTAAGTCTGAGAAGAGGTGGACTCTTCTCTAAGAAGGTGGACTAAGGGGCACAGCTGGGCCCTTTGCCTTGGAAGACAGTGACGGAGGTGCAGCTGGGTCCAGCCCCTGATATCTTGAGTTAAAGCTAGAAATTACAAGGCCCTCATTTCTGCTGGGACGATTCCTCAATTGCTCTAAAAAGGGTTATGGCCACCATGGCACCCAATGAAGAAAGTTAAAAGTTTGGTCTCAATGGTATTTGTATCAGAGTCCCACCAAACCCCTCCAGCGCTAGTGTAAGTGCGTAGTGGCAGAACAAGGACACTTTAAATTGAGCCACACCAAATAATGGATCAACCACTTTAACCAGAGCCCTATCTAGGTATCAAACAATAAGGGCCAGCCCCCACCGCAGTCACTAATTTCAAAGTCTGCTCCATTTCTGTGTGTTTAAGCTATGAATTAGTTCATTTATATTTACTTTTATGAAGCTGATTAACCAGAGCTTCTCTATCTGATGAAAATCATTTTAATTGTAGTGTTAGGCTCCTGTGTAATATCCATTACATTATGAACTGTTTAAATTCTACATGGGTATTGTGTAAATTGGCCCTTTGTGAGCTAGCAGGCAATTAGGACCAAACAGCTCTCCTTTAAACGGCTACAGAACTTTGTGGTGGTGTTCAGGACAATCAGAAACAAAGGAGGCTGTTTAATTGTAATTTAATGGAATATCAAGGAGTCCGTGGCATTAGATGCTGGCAACAGAGAGCAGGAGAGAAAAATTAACTGCAATTAAGTTTGATTAAAGCTATCCTTCTCAATAATCAGCGGTCCTGACAGGCCATGGGGCTCTAGTGGGTTCCAGGATGGCAAAAGGTGTTGAGCAATATTAGGGCCAATAAAGGGGATATTAGCATAGCTAATTACAGCCCTGCAAAACCTGTAAAGGGGGCCTCTGTGTATTGTAATGTGTGAAATAATTGGCCAAGGCCGTTATCAATTACATAAGGAATGAATTTGGTTTGTCAGAGAAAAGCTGATGAGATGCCTTTCACCGACACCCCTCCACTCCCTCATGTTTCTGGGTAGCTAAGAACTTATCCACTTTTATCAAAAGCGGCAAGTTACCAGTGGCCGGATCGCTGATAAAATCATCTTGCCAGCGAGCATTAGGTAATTAATACAACTCGTCCCTGCCACCGCTGTTTTTCACCTAACTGAAGCCACTAATCATGCAATAATGATTTCTTTCCCTCTGGTCAAAGGAGAAATAGATTGTCTCCTTAGAAATGCAGGGGCCGGGCAGATGCACCCTGGTGACGGAGGAGGAAAAGGAAACTTTGAGCAGTTTTAATTGCTTGCCTTTTGCATGGGGCTGTCACTTGTTTGAAATTACTTCCTTC